ATTTCCTCTATGAGTTTCTTCTTCTTCTCCGGCGATACACCCTTTGTTCTCTCTTTCACTCTCTCGGTCTCTTCTTCCGGCGACCCACTCCTGAATATGGTAAGATTCGCTGCGCTTTAGGGTTTTAACTAAAAGTTGGATTAATGAACGATTGGAATTATTGTTATGATTCGTTTCTCTTCGTTATGGATTTGGGATTACTTTTGTCGGTATTTGGAATTTAAAAGATTGATGTTTACTAGGTTTCATCTTCTGTGTACGTTTGATTGAAAAGGGAGTTATACCAAATCGATTATTAGGTTAAAAACTCACAGTATCGAATCTGAGTTTAAAGTTGTTAACACGTTTACATTCGTTCTGATATGTGTCCTACTTACAGAAAAGATTCATTGCTTTGTTCTCATTGAATTCTTGAATAAAAGGATGGTTTTGTGAATGTGTTAGCATTGAATCTCACTGATACATATTGGGATTTAATGAGTTTTTCTTTGTATGTTTATGTATAGATGATCAGAAAGTGTATTTACATATTTTGATTTTGAGAAAAGTGATATGTGTTTGGTGTTTGATAATTTTTAGATTATGATTTGCAAGTTAGTAATTTTCAGTCTCTTGTTGTCTTTCGCAGATGAATCTCAGAGGTCCAGGTCCATCACAGCGATTTGTCCGGTCTCACCAAACTCATTTGCCTCCTGGAGCAACTGGACCAACGAGGTCAGCCAAGAAAGATGGCACTTATGTTGACAAGCGAGCAGAAGCTAAACTAAATGCTGCGTTTAGAGGAATCAAATGTGAACAGCGAGAATGGATCAACTGTCACTGAACCTTCGAATGAACAGCTCACTGCTGCTTATATAGAAGTAATCTGATCATTTTTTTGTTTACCATTTAATCTCACTTCTACTTGCATGCGGTTTACTCTCTTACTCATTTGTTATCACTTTTTTTTTTCATGTTTGTTTAATCTGATTATGCTTGCTAGTGATACATGCATATAATTATGGTTTGAAAATCTGCATAGAATCTGACTAAAGTTCCAGTTTTCCTATGCTTTGTTTGCTTGTTCTCATTTTAACAAGCTCCTATCAATTCTAGTTCCACTTTGCATACAATTATGCTTTATCGGTAGAATAAGACTTTATTACTAGTTTTGTTTACTTTTCATATAATTAATTCTACATTGTTTGCCTATCAATTCTGCTTTTGTTTGCCTATTGAGATGCCTTTTTTATGCAGGTCACAACTAACACCAAAGGACAAGTCTATGGTCTTGGATCAATTCAGTATCTTAATGCTGATCCCAACGAATCAGCTGCAGCTTCTCTACGTAGGAACTTCGATGTACATATGTGTATGACTGGAATGAAAAGCATCATAGGCAACGTGAAGGAAGATGTGACACTGGTGAAGGAGGATGTGACAGGTCTTAAAAGAGCCATGGAAGCACTTTTGCGGGATCAATGAAGTAGATCCTGTTACACTTCAAGAGATTTCACGTGGTGAAGATGTGCATCATCTACTCCGAGTGAGGACTCAAAGTCTACGCATGATCCTACCTAGCTCCGTAACTAGAGCACCCCACAATCCATTGGGGAAACTCTTTAGCTAAGTTTTCTTCATGTGTTATCTTATTGGGATCCATATCTTAACTTAAGATCATGAATCTCTTGATTTTTGTGTTTTGTAAACTATAATCGCAAGTCTCGTACTTTTGTATATTGTATTTATTATCTTTAAAACTCTTGAATATTTTATATTAAGGTTTATATCTTTTTATTGTAATTTCAATTTCATAACTGATTTGGTTTCAATTTTTTTTTTTTATTCAGATTGTAGCTGATTGTGGATATTTGTATCTTATAGCAACGAATTAATTCGTAGCATTCTTGTAGCTATTATAGACACATGTTTAGTTGTAGCAATTTGTGTATCTTAGCCACAACAATTGTTACGGATACTTGTGGATAATAGCTACGATTTCGTGTGTGACACATCGTGGCTATTGGAGCTACAAATATAATCATGTCTATTTCGTGGATATTAGCTACAAACTTTGTTGTGGCAATATCGTGGAAATAGATCCGCAAATAACCACGCGTCGAGAATAGCTACAAGCTTATAGACACGAATCTGAGTTGTGGCTTTTCGTGGCTAAATATAATATAGCCACAAAATTTTGACTATAACTACAATTAATTTTGTGGCTATAAACAGTTTTTCTTGTAGTGCCTGTAATGACGAGACTGACCTTGATGTTGGGCATTCGCTTAAAACAATAACATTAGGACCAGACTTAACTGAGCCCAATTACATCTACTATCCACTAATGACCATAAATTGACTTTGTGCAAATATACAATGGTTATATACCGAGACATACAATAAAAGATACAAAACGGAACTATAATATGACTCGCGTGATGCGCGAGTTTGGTTTTAAAAATTTATTAGATTTAGAGACAAACAATCTAATTACCTAATAAATTATTATTTATGTTTGACAAAATCAACAAATTCTTTGTAAATACAAAATTATAATTGACTTGAAATATAATTAGTTGTTTCTCTTATCTGAATTGTATGAATATGAAAACAACCATTTTGATTTGGATGGTTACTATTTAAAAATAAATATGTTTGTTTAAAACTTTGTTGGGTAGATGTTATCTAAATAACCAAA